AGATAAGGTTGATTTAACATAAAGCTCTTTCCTAAGTGCATTTGTTTGTTATCAACAACTATTTTGGGCATCCAACCAAATTTATATATTTCTCTACTCTTACTTGTTATCTGATCAACTTTTATTTCTTTGTCTCTTCTTTTTTTTATTGGAGTTCAATTTGCCAATGTATAGCGTATCACCCAGTGCTCATCCCGTCAAGTGCCCCCCTCTGTGCCTGTCAACCAATCACCCCAACCTCCCACCCACCTACCTTTCCACTACCGCTTGTTCATTTCCCAGAGTTAGGTGTCTCTCATGCTCTGTCTCCCAAACTGATATTTTCACTCATTTTCTCTACTTTCCCCTTTACTCCCTTCCACTATTTTTTGTACTCCCCAAATGAATGAGATCATATAATGTTTCTCCTTCTCTGATTGACTTATTTCACTCAGCATAATACCTTCCAGTTCCATCCACGTTGAAGCAAATGGCGGGTATTTGACATTTCTAATGGAAGAGTAATATTCCATTGTATACATACACCACATCTTCTTTATCCATTCATCTTTCGATGGACACCGAGGTTCCTTTCACAGTTTGGCTATTGTGGACATTGCTACTATAAACATTGGGGGGTAGGTGTCTCAGTTTTTCACTGCATCTGATTCTTTGGGGTAAATCCCCAGCAGTGCAATTGCTGGGTCGTAGAGAAGGTCTATTTTTAACTCTTGAGGAACCTCTACACAGTTTTCCAGAGTGGCTGTACCAGTTCACATTCCCACCAACAGTGCAAGAGGGTTCCCCTTTCTCCACATCCTCTCCGACATTTATTGTTTCCTGTCTTGTAAATGTTCACCATTCTCACTGGTTTGAGGTGGTATCTCATAGCGGTTTTGGTTTGTATTTCCCTGATGGCAAGTGATGCAGAGCATTTTCTCATGTGCTTGTTGGCCATGTCTATGTCTTTGGTGAAATTTCTGTTCATGTCTTTTGCCCATTTCATGATTGGATTGTTTGTTTCTTTGGTGATGAGTTTAATAAGTTCTTTATAGATCTTGGATACTAACCCTTAATCTGATATGTCATTTGCAAATATCTTCTCCCATTCTGTAGGTTGTCTTTTAGTTGTGTTGACTGTTTCTTTTGCTGTGCAGAAGCTTTTAATCTTGATTAGGTCCCAGTAGTTAATTTTTGCTTTTCTATCCCTTGCTTTCAGAGATGTATCTTGCCAGAAGTTGCTGTGGCCAAGTTCAAAAAGAGTATTGCCTGTGTTCTTCTCTAGGATTTTGATGGATTCTTGTCTCACATTTAGATCTTTCATCCATTTTGAGGTTATCTTTGTGTATGGTGTAAGAGAATGGTCTAGTTTCATTCTTCTGCCCATGGCTGTCCAATTTTCCCAGCACCATTTATTGAAGAGACTGTCCTTTTTCCAGTGGATAGTCTTTCCTGCTTTGTCCAATATTAGTTGACCATAAAGTAAAGGGCCCATTTCTGGATTCTCTATTCTGTTCCATTGATCTATGTGTCTATTTTTGGGCCAGTACCACACTGTGTTGACGATCACAGCTTTGTATTACAACCTGAAATCTGGCATTCTGATGCCCCAGCTGTGGTTTTCTCTTTTAATATTCCCCTGGTTATTTGGGGTCTTTTCTGATTCCACACAAATCTTAAGATGATTTGTTCCAACTCTCTGAAGAAAGTCCATAGTATTTTGGGAGGGCTTGCATCAAATGTGCAAGTTGCCCTGGGTAGCATTGACATTTTCACAGGATTAATTCTTCCAATCCATGAGCATTGGATATTTCTCCATCTCTTTGTGTCTTCCTCAATTTCTTTCAGAAGGATTCTGTAGTTTTTAGGGAATAGATCCTTTACCTCTTTGGTCAGGTTTATTCCTAGGTATCTTATGCTTTTGGGTGCAATTGTAAATGGGATTGACTCCTTAATTTCTCTTTAAGTCTCATTGTTAGCTAATAGAAATGCCACCAGGGGGTCCCAGGGTGGCTCAGTGGATTAGTACCTGCCTTTAGCCCAGGGAGTGATGCTGGAGTCCCGGGATCAAGTCCCACATCAGGCTCCCTGCATGGAGCCTGCTTCTCCCTCTGCCTATGTCTCTGCCTCTCTGTCTCTCTGTGTCTCTCTCTGTGTCTCTCATGAATAAGTAAATAAAATCTAAAAAAAAAAAGAGAAATGCCACTGACTTCTGGGCATTGATTTTGTATTCTGCCACACTGTCAATTTCTGTATGAGTTCTAGTGATCTTGGGGTGGAGTCTTTTGGGTTTTCTAGGTACAGTATCATGTCATCTGTGAAGAGAGAGAGTTGGACTTCTTCCTTGCCAGTTTGAATGCCTTTTATTTCTTTTTGTTGTCTGATTGCTGAGGCTAGGACTTCCAGTACTATGTTGAATAGCAGTGGTGAGAGTGGACATCCCTGTCTTGTTCCTGATCTTAGGGGAAAGGCTCCCAGTGTTTCCCCATTGAGAATGATATTTGCTGTGGGCTTTTCGTAGATGGCTTTTAAGATGCTAGAGGAATGTTCCCTCGATCCCTGCACTCTGAAGAGTTTTGATCAGGAATGGATGCTGTATTTTGTCAAACACTTTCTCTGCATCTATTGAGAGGATCATTTCTCTTGTTGATATGATCTATCACATTGATTGCTTTATGAGTGTTGAACCAGCCTTGAGTCCCGGGGAGAATCCCACTTGGCCATGGTGAATAATCTTCTTAATGTAGTGTAGGATCCTATTGGCTAATATCTTGTTGAGAATTTTTGCATCTGTGTTCATCAGGGATATTGGTCTAGAATTCTCCTTTTTGGTGTGGTCTGGTTTTGGAATTAAGGTGATGCTGGCCTCATAGAACGAGTTTGGAAGTATTCCACCTCTTTCTAATTTTCCGAACAGCTTTAGTAGAATACATATTGTTTCTTCCTTAAACGTTTGATAGAATTCTCCTGGGAAGCCAACTGGCCCTGGACTTTTGTGTCTTGGGAGGTTTTTGATGACTGCTTCAATTTCCTCCCTCATTATCGGCCTGTTCAGGTTTTCTCTTTCTTCCTGTTCCACTTTTGGTAGTTTGTGGTTTCCCAGAAATGTGTCCATTTCTTCTAGATTGCCTAATTTATTGGCACATAGTTGCTCATAATATATATTTAAAATCGGTTGTATTTCCTTGGTATTGTTGGTGATCTCTCCTTTTTCATTCATGATTTTATTAATTTGAGTCTTTTCTTTCTTTTTTTTTAAATAAGGCTGGCTAATAATGGTTTATCTATCTTATTAATTCTTTCAAAGAACCAACTCCTGGTTTTGTTGATCTGTTCCACAGTTCTTCTAGTCTCTATTTCATGGAGTTCTGCTCGAGTCTTTATTAACTCTCTTCTTCTGCTGGGTGTAGATTTTATTTGCTGTTTTTTCTCCAGTTCCTTTAGGTGTTCTTTTTTCTCTTCTAAAAAGCCTAATAATTATGAGATAAGCTACTGTCATGTCAGCACAGAATTCCTATGCCAGTCAGTTAATGATGGTTTAATAATGACCTCTTATATGCTCAGCTTTATTCCATGTCTCCTGTGAATTACAAAGACATATAAAACATTTCCCATTAATAGGCAAGAATCTAATTAGACAGTTGGAGCAAGGCATAAATATGGGAACAGTTAAAAGGAATTCAGGCCATAAATAATAGCTCAATGCAAGGTTTGTCATAAACTATTTTGTATCTGTGCACCAAGTGATCTCATTTCCTTTTTCTGGGTGCCTCTCAAATTTTTCCTTTTTTAAAATTTCTTCAAACTCCACCAGTAATGACTCTTCATCCTTCCCTGTCCACACCCTGCACAACTGCATTATTATTGCATCCTCTTAGCTGTTTTGTTCTCCTCTAAACTATCCTATATAGGAAGCCAATCATCTTTAGATAGCACTTCCCTTGAGTCTTTTGTTGCTGTTGTTCCAATAATCTACAGTGGTCTTGTAGTCTACTACATCATGTCCAAATTCCTCTGCATGTTTCTTAGGATCCTCCAGAGTTGAGCTCCATCCTATTTTCATTTCTAATCCCCCTATGTCATGAGCAACTTGCTCTTTACCCTACCCCATCCAGCTCCTTTTTATCAGATCATTTTCTTCTAGTAATATTATGCTTTATGTTCTACCTCTCTTCCTTGGTTTGTGTTCATCTTTCATTCATTTATTCTTTCTTACTCTCTTTCAAAATCTCTTCCATTCCTTAAGGTCTATGTGGAGACCCATTTCCTTCATAAAACTTTCCCCAACTCTTCCAGCCAATATTGGCTTTTGCTTTCTCCATTTATTTGCCATATACAGTCTCATGTCTCAAATGCTACAATTTTTCACTAGATTGTAGTCTTTGTTCTATTATCTCTTTAGTTTGCTGTGCTAGTTCTGTGTTCACAGTCCTAGATTGTAAATTGAGGGTAAATATAAAGACTTTATTTCCTTCTCCCTTAGCACTTATCACAGCATTTGGTGGAAAATAAGATGCTCAATCAATATTTTTAATCATTATCCTAATGAAGGTACAAGTGTTTTATTATATTGTTTCAGAGGCTGAGTGGAGAATGGAGCATGATTCAGAGGTGTAGAAGGTTCAATCCACCAGAAATGTCTATTAGGGTTGTATTTTATTAATATTATTTAGCACCACAAAGTACATATGGAGACTTAATGCTTATCTGATTATACTTTTAAAATCTGTATTTCTTTGTACTTACAGCCTTATAAAAATCAGTCAAAATAGTCCATTTGTTTGATCTTGCTTGAAAGTGTAGATGTTGAAATGGTCTATTTACAGTGACCCAATGGTGCTTTAAATGTGCTGGGAAATGGATATTGTATGGATAGAGTAACAAATGAAGCAAAAACACTGTCTAATAAATGTTTACAAACCATCAAGTCTACAAACACTAAATATCATTCACAATAAGATCTTTCTTATCCTGCAATTTATCTCAATTTTTCCATTACCTTCTTTAATTTTCTCTTCTAGCTTTACTCACAGACAAGCCTCCCAAGCCATTGTTCCCCATGGAGAATCAGCCAAATGTTATAGATGTCCAGCTGGGTAAGTGCCCTTCTGGGAATAATAGATCCTAAACTCCTTCTCTGTTAACAGATGGGGAAGATTGCATGAACCAGGAAAGGTTTATTGCCACTGTTATTGCATGCAAATCAATTTTTGTCTGCTCATTTTTAACCCTGAAGTTCAGTACATTAGAAGTTTAAGGAAATGAGTTTGTATTGCATCAAGGAATTATAATACTAATTGCTTACACTAGGTATTAAGTGTGCTATAGGACAGAGCCTTTTAAATCTGTGATTGATAGATTCAGAGATGTTATGCATTGGTGATTGGTACAAAAGACATTTCATGCTTGTCAGCCAAAATTTTTATTTAGATAACATTAACTCCTGGAAAACAACACTTTTAAAAAGAAAATATCCCTTCGGTACAACCCTTAAAATGATTTGACAATATTATTTCCAGTGGCACAATCTAGAGTTCTTTAAAACTTGTTTTTACTTTGAGATCCTGAATATTTATGAATCATATAATGTTGGTGAAAGTAACAAGATGATTTGTTGGTGCTGTTTGTTTACAGACTCAAATAAGGGTACAAGGTGTTGAGCTTTACTTTTGAGTCCCCTACCAGTAATAATACTTGTATTTCAAGAACTATAAGCTTGAGACTCAGAAGCCTATTAGCATCTCTTTCACACCATGGCCTTTACTTTAAACCATGTACTTTAACATTTGTGAGCTTTTATCTACCTTGGGTTTCATTCAGTTCTCAGAATTTCTTTAATTCTAAACAAGACAAGTGAATAATATGTTGGAAATGTATTGGGTTGATTTGGGGTATATGATTTATTGAAACCTATGATCATAGTAGTAACTATCAATTATATAGCTAGGGAAAATGAATTGGCCCCAATATTTCACCCACTTTGGAAGGTGTTTTATTCAACATTTGATCATTCCAATACAATTTGGATTGTTAGAAGCTTATTTCTTTCTTAAGAATGGGTGGGAGTTACATTCCTAAGAACTTGTTCATCTTTCCAAAAAGAAATACAGCACATTGTAGTTAATACAGCCTACCAGTATGAGTACCAAAATTAAGTATTTTCAAACAAACAAAAAAAGAAAGGAAACATGTTAAGAATAGATTGTGGAAGTCATGACTATTTTGTAGCTAATGTTGACATATTAGACTATGTTTCTTCCCCCACCACTTGTATTATTTTGCAGAGTCATTACATTTTGTTATAGACAAATCTAGATGCCCTGACACATACCCTCAGTAATTTTTGCTGACAACTTTCCATCAATACCGGGATAAAAATACCTCAAGTTGTACTTTGTGGTTTTCCAGGGGTTACATGAACCATAAGATGATCTTATATCATTAGTTTTCATGAAGATTTAAGTGGGTAAATCATTTTTATATGAAAACTTATATATTAAGAAGTAGAAAGCAAAATTTACACAACTATCTCAAATTTTGTGTTTGTGGTCCATGGGTGAGTACTTCTTCATTCATCTCTGCTATTAGTCAAGCTTTAACCAAAATGTTAGAGGATTACTATCCTAAAACAAGGAGAAAGATCACTACAGGGAGTACATTTCACTCAGATTTACTGGGTGCAGAGTTTGTATGTCATATTTAGGACATTACTAAGATGTGTGCTTGGTATGAATATGTAATTCAACACAGGCATATATGCCAAAATAACCCACCACCAACACCACCCTATAAAATTACTAAATTTACTAAATTATTGGTAATCATTTACTAAATAAAATAATTACTAAAATAATCTACATTAGGTACAAGGCTGAACTTTTTAGTTTTTAGTTTGTGACACAGTTTGGAGACAACTTTATTAACAGAAAGATTGAGACTACTCAATTTTCATTCCAGAAGGAGTTTCTCTGAAATGCTAAAGAAACCATGTAATTCAAATAAAGGAAAACAAAATCAGTTAAACCAGATCTTTGGCACTTGAAAGAACATGTAATGGTTAATTAGGTGATTTTAATTCTTCCACATATTTATTTAACACCATTTATTCACAACTGGAAGTCATTTTGTAACTTACTGTGATGCTTCAATAATAAGGTGATGTTAGGAGCACTGTAAATGTCAGAGAGCTTCTCAGTATCAGTGGGAGTTCTGTATTCAGAACATTTAGAAACCCCAAGTGCAAAAAGGAGAGAAATATAATTGGGTGATTGGACATCCCTGTCTATTTCTGGAAAACTTTCAAAATTCAGTAAGATCATTAAAACTTCTGGAAATTATTTTTCTTAATTTTTTTGAGTTCATTGAGCAAATTCAGCTTTAGACATCCTCAAATTAGAACAAATTAGAACTACCAAAGAATACAACAATCCAATTCCAATGGCTAAGCACATTAACAAGTTCAGGTTTCCCAAATCTCAGTACCTAAAATTTGAGGCAATATTCTATTAGATTAAAGTTGGCCACAGATTTTTTTTCCTTCTCTTACCATTTAAACATAGTTTATCATCCCCCTCTCCTTGAATCCAAGATGGCCTTAGGAAATGATCAATAGAGTATTATAGAAATGATATTCTGGGATTTTGGAGGCCTGGTCAAAAGAAACCTTGCAGCTTCTCTTCAGGACTCCTGGTCTTCTCTGAAACTACCATGCTATGAGAAGCTCAAGGCACATGGAGAGGCCCTAGAGGATGGGGCACCATTTGAAAAAATAAAGAGGTCAATGAACAACACCAAGCTGATAAGTGGAGAACCAGTGTTGGAATTGGATCCTTTATCCCCAGCTGCCCTGGCTTATGCTGTGTAGTTCAGGCACAAACCGTTAAGGCAAAATGTTATATTTCTAACCCAAAAAAAGTTATGAGCAAAATAAAATTGTCATTAGCCACTAAGTTATGTAGATGTTAAACAACAATAGATACCTAAAAAAAATCAATTTCCTCTAAAACATTGTAACTTCCATTTTCCCCACGGAATAGAATCCTATGCAAGCATTTTGTGCAAAATGAAAAATATTGTGGGAAATGCTTGAATACTAACTTCAGGATAGTTTCAGAAAACATGGTCTGGAAAAATTATTTATGTGTTTGTTTGAGGGTTATACTTAGTTCACAGTTCTGCATATTTGTAAAGGCAATCCAGTAAGTGAAATTTTTCAGTAGAAATGAATATTTTTTGTGCATGGGTTGGCATTAGTGCAGATATTTTGTTGTGTCTCTAGAGGAAAATAAACATCTTGGCTTTCTCTTTTCTATAGTGTAATTCATTAGTCATCCACAATGTTATAGAAATTTACAAAGTTTTTGCTGACATCGTGATGACTGGTTGTTGTTAGATTGTGTTCACATTGTAATGCTGAAAGAAGATTAATCTTAACCAAATAACCATACATTTTGAAATGATAAACACATTGTTAACAAAATAATAAGAAAACTACTGCTCTCACAAAGCAAGCCTATTCAGCTAAAGTTGCCTGTGGTAATGTATGAAATATAAAGACAAAAACAATGTACAAAACACACAAAAATTCTTATTTGGTCTTATTACCTTCCATTTATTTTCTTACTGTGAAGATAAATTTAGATTGAATTTTATTAAAAAAAAAACTTTTACTATACCTGCGCTGAGCTCTTTATTTTGGCAGTTGAAAATAAATACATTTTCATTTTTAAGACAAAATAACACTGGATTACAGCATATTAATTCATATTACACTTTAATACCAAAGTATTGAAACATTATAGCAACATGTGTCCTAATTGAAATGCTAGGTAGACCTTTATTTGGATACTTTTAAAAAAATAGAACCCAAAGGCATGTTTTATAAATTGTAACAGGCACCTAGAAGCTTTAAAAAAGCCATGAATAAATGTGGAAGAAAAGATTTGAAATCTGACATCTAATTTCAATTGAGGATAAATTTGGAAATGTAACCTGTTCTCATTGATGATGATAATTTTTTTTTGGAAATTTTCTAAGACTTAAAAATCAGTCTTATGCAGAAAATAAATATAAACACTGTTTACTTTCTCCTTTTGTGTCAAAGAGTCAAGATGAAGGTTTGGGGGCCTAAAGCATATCCAAAATCTCAGGCTAGTGGAATAGTCCAAGCTAATTGAATACCTCAGATGCTTCAAAAAGCCAGATAGTCATTTCTAGATGAATCTGATCCATTATGAAAGATTCTCTTTATTTCTCTTCTATTCTCATTCAGAATGTACTTTATTTTTACAAGCTATTCAAATTCATATTTCATGACCGTGTTATGTGCTACTGGCTCAAACTTTCTCTGTGTGTAAAAGAGTGTTAACCTTCATCAGAAATTGATTTCACCAGCATATCAGTTTCTACTGAAAATTATATTAGGTCTCCTAAGAGACCACTGCAAAAGATTCTACAAAACAATAAAGCAAAATATAATATTTAATGCAATACTCAGGACTACAAGGCAAAAATAAGTAATGAATTGGAGCCTTAAAATAGGAAATGAACTATTCAACTAAATATATCTTTTTAAAACTTCATTTATATAGAAACAGTTTTTGTGTTATTAACAGATGCCAAACACTGTGTTAGATCCTGGGGATATAGAGGTAAATAAAATGAGGTCCTTGGCCATAAGACATTCTCAGTCTACCGGGGAAGGCAGATGTGTAAGCAGAATTACAGTGCAATATGATAACTATGAAAAGGGAGAGTGGCTATTTTTTGTGAGAAGACCTCATAAATTAACAGTTCTGCACTCTGACTTTTACACAATATAATGATATAATTCTGTAACCTTACTCAAGTACTAAATTTATGTGAAAATAATTAAAAATTACAAAAGGTATAACCTTTTGAAATAATAGATTATCCACCATTTGCTTCAATATGGCAATACTAAAAATGGAAATTTTTAAAGAATGTTATTCATTTATTTGAGAGACACAGTGAAAGAGAGAAAGAGAGGAAGAGTAGGGGAGGGGCAGAAATAGAGGGAGAAGCAGACTTCTGGCTGAGCAGGGAGCCCAATGTGGGGCTGGATCCCAGGATCCTG